ATATTTAAGTTTTACGCTAAATACTTTTAAGCTTTGGATTTGTATTATTTATATCAATGCTTGCACATTTACGATGTCTCGCATTCAGTTTTGACACCATAGATCACCGAATTTTTATAAAACGTTGCATTTTTTATTTTATAAGACGATTCAATTTAAACTCCTGTGACAAAGCTTCAGGTGTTGGATTGTATAAAAAAAATCGTGATTTATAGCGCAAATCTACAGGAGTATGCCGCGCGTGTGCAAACCATGAAGATCGTCCGAACGTATATAGTAGCTGCGGAAAATATAAATTTACCGTAAGAGTAACGCGTACGTGGCGTTCCGCGCCGGCGATCGGGTGACCGCTTCCTGGCCGGTGCAACGGATATGCGTAGGTGCAACGTGCATCTATTCCGTGTCATAGCCAAACTTCGGAAATTTTGTCGCGCGTTAACGTGAACGAGATTTTGGCCCGTCGCCAGGGCTCGTTTCTAAACCGATTAAACGGCTAAATTTCCGGAACGCCGCGCTGATTCTCAGTGTTTTACCGCAACACTCCATAATTACGAGCGTGACATATTTTCAATTGTCATTCTTCAAGCGGGAGTTTTACGAGAGAGCTTCGCGCGCGCAATTTGTGGTTGAGCATTGTATATTTTTAAAATTTTCTATACATTCAAAGAAGTAACTGTATGCGCAGCATCAATTTAAGATAAAAAGTAATTTATTACTCACTGATACAATTCGCAACAGCAGAGTTGTACGTCGTTAACCAAATATGTTGTACTGTGAAAATACAAAAATATATATGGTTATTATGGATTAATTATGTAAAATCGAAATTATTGTATTAAATATACTTTATATTTTATATATTTTAAAATAGGTATTTATTAAAATAATTATATAGAATATTGAAAAAGTCTTCCTTTTAAATATAAACTCAGAAAATTTTATACGTATGGATTTGTCTCTAACACTTATTCGAATCCTCGTTCGAACCATTTGAATAAATAAAATAAAAACATAGAACAGATACTTTATTTTGCACAAGTAGCGAATCAAAATGTAAGACACTTACCTCACCATTTTTCCGCCGTTACCCGATGCCTCCTTAGCCTCCTCCTCCTCTCAGATTTCCTCGTTGCACTTACACAACACTCACTCGCGAATATCATCGATCGCGCGAAATTTCGGACACTCCCGTACGCGATGTGAAATACCGCGAACACACGAAATATTATTAACTTTTGCGTTATCGGTTTCCAAGACTATCTGTCATAAAAATTACTCAAACTAACAACCTGCATTTTTGATTCGGAAGAATAGGATAATGGATAAATAACTTTTGAATTGGAGATATATAAAACGCAACGCGAGGATTGGAAGCACAATCTGCAGTAAAGAAGTAGTTATTAGTCCGCAATGAAACGATATTTTGCAATTTAATCCTCGAAATAAATTACGTGAGCGAAATTTCCAGCGATAAATAGTTGTTATTAATTGCAACAGTTAATCAAGATAATTTTCGATTACATTTACATAATGTAACGAAGTGCGATAAGCGACTTTCTTTACTTCCTGCCCGTTCGAGTTGCGAAGAACGACAGAGCGAATTACAGCGCGAACGCCGAAGTCGTACCTCCCTTTTCCCGAAAATGGAATAGATTATACGAAATCGATAGATAATTAAAAGCGCGGTGCGTAAACGAGATGTAACCGCGACAAAGTACCACGGTTTACCTTCGTATTTTAGATGAGTTAGTCTCGCGAAAGATCTATGTACCTATACGTTGATAAAGAGCCGTCGCCTCAACACGCAATTCGTTTCTCATTACAAGTTGTAGGAACTTAATAATCGAGGAACTCGTTACTGATAAAGGTGTACAAATCGATAGCGTTTTATCCCTACATTCGTCGCGATCGAGTCTTGGAAACCGATAACGCAAAAGTAATAGCACGCACGGAGCGACTCTCGCCACTGCCTGCCGGCTCGACGTTCGGCGAGCGAGTGATTACGAGGCGACCTTCAGGTACACGATGGCACGCAAAAACATCGTACGTCACCGCGCCGAGTGAAAAACAACAAAAAAACGTTGAGAATTCGTTGGCCCGCTTAATCGTCGTACGATACCGCGCCGAGTGAAAAACAACAAAAAACGTTGAGAATTCGTTGGCCTGCCTACGCAATGGAAAATTCCGTACTTAATATTTTATTGTACATTACTTTGTTCCGTGACTGCTGCTACGTTTTGCGTATTATTCCGCGGACTTGTTGGCATTGATTAAATTAACGAATAATTCTGTTGAATCGAGAAAATGTTTCGAAACAAAAATCATTGTTACTTAAACTCTAGGATTAGAGATTTTCTCTCAATAGTTTACCATCGCGGATACCGTAAGCGTTCCAATTCGCCAATAGTATCGCGTGTCTACGAGCGACACGTATTGGAAACAATTTCGCGATGGAGCACGCGCTTTTAGCGAGAAGGCGGCCAGCCGTTTCCTCTCGCTCCATGCTCTCCAGCAGCGGGAATTCGTAAATATTTCAGCCGCATGCTAAAATAAAGCTCGGGCGAGAATGCGTCAGCACGTAGCGAGGCTCACCCGCGAGGATCACGGAATTTTATACGCGAGATCGATTTGTACGCGAACTCTCTCGGTCAGAATCGTCCCTTTCGAGTGTCAATTAGTTGCCCGATTACTCAACTCTTCCTCCCTCCCCCCTCTCTCTCCCCGAAGCTCACGCTTTAGGAAACTTGTTCCAAGGCGTGTAATAAATAATGATTCTGATTCTGTGATTCTCCCCTCCATATTAACGTTTCAATCGCGAGTTTCAGATATTGTTCACTGAGCTGCCCGTCGTACGTTTCGAGGACAATTTGTCATGATGTGAATGTAAGTTCACAAGTTTGATTACTGTCTATTTCACTTCTTCGGGAATGAACTTTTAGAAACGATGTAATTTTTTATTTAGTTATATCTGCTTTAATTTCATCAACACAATAAAAACACTACGTATACGAGTACACACGTGTGTGTGTGTGTGTCTCTGAAACGATTAATTATGCATCAAATTGAATTGTGCTTATAATAAAGATCACATTTTTTCACGCAAGACTAGCTTTAGTTCAATTAATTAAACATGCAATATAATTAGACAAAAGAGAAAATAGTAAAAAAAATGAAGTATACTGAATAACGAAGAAAATTCCAAATATCTGTGCTACTTAAAATTTCTAGACTTTCTTTCCCACCCAACGGTTTTTATAGGCTTAGGATTATTTAAGTGTCTTATTTTTAGCGTTTTGAAAGAAATAGAAATACCGTAGACACATGAAAGCCGCTGCAGAGCAGGCGAAGAATGGGAAGAAACGGTACCGAGAGAATGAATGAAAATATGGGAAAGTCGCGGAACGAATTAAAGGTTTCAGCAAACGGTCCGATGGCATTATGCGAAAGCCCTATGTGTTTCTGTCCGGAATAATGATATTATATTTAATGCACGAACAGCATTTCAGAACTTTTCAATTTCCAATCGCAGTTCCGGATAGTAGAAACAATCGGAATTATTGGCATTAAAAGATTCTTACGAGAAAACTATTTTTTTTCAACAGCTTAAAGAAGATACGAGGAGGTAAGTTTAGAGAGCAAAAAATTTGCTCCACTGACATTTCAAACGTTGCAAAAATATACGGGGTGCCCAGGAATTTTCAGGTTTCTTTTTCTTTTCCGATTTTTATAGGCACGGAATTATTGAATCTCTTTCTGGCTGGTGTCTTTCGAATGAGCGGAAAGATTCTCGCGGGTTAGTTCGATTTTGAATGAAAGAAGTAACGTAACATGACTATCCACGGTCTTTTTACACGATAGAAAAGCTGCGCGAACGTCGTTAACGATATCGATAGTTGTCGGTAACCGAGTACAGAATAGGGTCCCAGGGGCCCGATTCTTGAATTTATTCGAAGAAGAAACGTATACGAAAATTCTGCTCTGACAGAAAAGTTGAAAGTCGATTGGTTAAAAGCCACGCGATTAACCAATCAACTTACGACTTTTCTGTAAGAGCAGAATTTTCGCATACGTTTCTCCTTTGAACAAATTCAAGAATCGAGCCCCAGGTCTGATGCGGGCACAGCACGCGTGTCTAAAAGGCATCTGTAAGACGTCTTTAAGTTGTCTTTAAGGGCCGGAGCACAAAGCAACGTAATAGCTTGCGACAAAGACGCAAGCGTAAACGTGGGTAGCGCACAAGCTTTGGCGTAAAAGTAACGCTACATGTAATTGGAGGCGAGTACGACATACGCCAAAGCTTGTGCGCCATCTACGTTTACGCTGGGCGTCTTTGTCGTAATCTATTACGTTGCTTTTTGTGCTCTGACCCTTAGATATTGTATGTGCTGTAAGCGCGAGATACAGAATTGACCCTCAGAATCCTCTTTTATCGATAAAAGTGCCACTAAAGTCGGACTTGAAGGATTCTAACTGGCTGAAAAGGTCTTGTACGAGCGCTATTACCGATAACAGACGCGGATTCAGAATATGGGCAGGACTCGCGCCTCGCGAATCTCGCTAGTGCCTGTCGCAACGATCGATTTGCTCGAAAGGCGAATGTATGTGCCTGATTCACGTTCTCCTTTTTTACCTTTCCGGCGACAGAGGCGGGAAGCAGCCACAAACCTTTCGAGGATCCGAAGATTCCCGCTCGCGGGCCTCCTAACTCTCCTACGGACGAGGACAACGGGGAGGAGAACGTCCCGGTTGACGAGGTTGCGAGCAGCGGCCACTCGCAGCGAGCGGCGCTTGGAGCTTTTCCGCCGGACCGGCCAATCGGGAGGCGCCGGCGTCGAGTCGACCAATCGGTGGCCGCCGGGCAGTGCCAATTCTTCTCGCCCGCGAGTCCCGAGGAGTTCCCGAGAGGGCCGAGAGACGGCCTCGAGCGCAGCGCCCTCTGCGCGAGAGAGCGCCTCCTTCCGCGGATAGTCGCCGCTGATCCTCGATCCCGCGCAGTAGCGGTGTTTATTTACCTTCGCCATCGCGACGTCAGACCGAATTGATCCGCGTACCCGCGCGCAGTCGAGTGCCACGAGACCGCGACGCGGCCCGTCGTTCCGTCGAGCGCCGACGCCGCGCCGCGCCGCGCGAGCGGAGTTGCCACGCTCGTCACGGCAGGCGGAGGACGACGCAGAAGGTAGACAAGGTGGAAGAGCGCGCGTCGGCCGTCGAGGCCTTGCGGTCTGTCACCCACGTAAGCCGCGGCCGCCGTCGTCGTCGCGCGAGGTTGCGCCGTGCGTCCACATCGCCGTCGGCCGCGCCGCTCTAACCTATAGCCGAGGGTCTCGACCACTCCGTGCCGCCGTCCCGGGGAACCTCTGCTCGCGCACGGCGCGTCTGTCTGCGCCCGATGTCGCGCCACCGCTAGAAGGCCAGGCCGCGACGAGTATGGGCGACGAGGACGACGTGCTGCCGGCGCGTCTGCAGAGGCTCGAGATCGACCGTCGCTCGACGAGCTGTCCCCAGTAAGCATCGCACCGTCGTTCTCGGTAGCCACCGCGGCGACCCAGCGTCGCGTTCCGCTCCCGAGGACAAGCCCGTCCGTAGCGAGAGGCCAGGTCTGGAGGCAGCGACCGGCGGTTTCCCCAAGTTCACCCGGAGCGTCTCTCCGCGACGCAAAGCGGATTGATTCTAGGATGCGACGTGCGTCTGCGATTGTCGCAGCCTCACTGCGACTCAGGGCGATTAGATCGCACGCGAGAATACACCGGTCAAGCGAATTTCCTCCTGACGTTAGAGCGACAGCGTCATCGCCGTCAGATCTGTATCTGGATATGTCGTTAAGTTGACCGAGTAACCTTGGGTAAAGTAGGAACGAGTTGTAGATTGTTGTTTACCAATAGCCAGACGCAGAGTCGGCGAGTTTAATTTTACAAAAGTTTGCAGGTAAATATGATAGAGTTAGCGCTACGGGCTCGAGAAGTCACCTCGGTTTCGTTCGGCGCCGCACAGTGTCGAGCAACGTTGCAGCGCGACGCAGAATCGGCAGAATGAAAGGTGTCAATGAATACGCGACCCTCGACTCCGTATCTGACGATCCGTTCAACGCTGTTGTTTACTTGGCCTGAAGTCGCGGACGTTTAGGTTGCCAAGATACAAGTTGCGACAGCCAATGACGAGCCGATAACGGTGACAACAAAGCGACGGACTGTGATTTATCGGTCATCGCTGTGTCTAGCCGAAGTCCCTCTGTCAATCGGCGCGTCTCCCGTTGGCCAATCGAGAGCCGAAACGCCGAAACTTCGCGGCCGTGTGTACTTTTCGTAATCGCGGTCAGGGTCAGCTAGTAACGCGACAGTGTGTATATTTACAATGCACGCGCGTCTCGTCCGTCAGAAGTTGGATTGCGCGATCGAATTCTCGGCTGCCGGGCGGACTCTGGTCGAGTGAAGTCCGGCTCGATTCCATCTGGAGAAACATTTGGCACGGTTTCACCAACGTCGCTTAACTTTTTAAGCTTAGCTTAACTCGTTCTTTGTCTCTTTTCAACTCTAGAAGGATACAAACGTGAAATGAACCAAGATTACAGTTAAGCGACGTTTGGTGAAACCGGGCCTTGGGCTTGGCTTAATTCGTTCTTTGTCTCTTTTCAACTGTTACTTTAGAAAGAGACAAACATGAACTGAGATTAAAGTTAAGCGACGTTGGTGAAACCGAGCCCAAGATCCGGTTTCACCAAACGTCGCTTAACTTTAAGCTTAGCTTAACTCGTTCCTTGTTTCTTTCCAACTGTTACTTTAAAAAGAGACAAACGCGAATTAAGCAAAGATTAAAGTTAAACGACGTTTGGTGAAGCCGGGCATTAGGCGCACTATTTTTAAACCTGCGTGGACACCGCGATGCCGGAAATAACAACTTAGCGGCGTCGATGGTAGACTTGAGAGAGATAGAGCTGCGGCATTGACAAATTACGAAACAGGGTTTCTTTGAGAGGCTTGCGAGGCTGTAGTAATGTTTATGCGAACTGCGTTCAGCGCGATCGGATAGGAAACTTGTATGTCTTCGCGGAGTCCTCAACGACGTAAGACGGCTAAGAGCTCGCAAATGCTGCTTGTAATATTGTAAAGCTTCCGTTTCCTAATTGCCGCTGTTTATACGCCTTGAAGTATTTATTCAAGAGGGGTTCTTTAACGTGAAAATCCTTGCTACTTCGGCGTATCTACGTAATATAAATTGTCTCACGAGAGAATTTTTCTCTCTTTCAGCATCGCAATGGCGGACAAATCGAAGACGATGAATCTGTTCAGGATATTCAGCGAGAATTCCAACGGCAACTGTTTACTCCGAAGAAGATCCGCACCCAACAGGCCTACCATGTTCCCAGTCAACCCGAGGGGTATAAAAAGTACAACGAATTTCAAGCCGTCTAAAAACGAGAGAACGGTCGAGAAGACCAGAAGGAGCACCATCCTGAGGGACGCCATTCTAAAGTTAAGCGCTCCCGGAACCAGCGGTCTTAGTGATAACCCGGTAGATACGCTGCTCAAGGACACGTGTAAGCTCAGTATTCCCAGTAAAAATTCCAAGATAATCGACCACAATTCGGTCATGAAGGACTTCAAGGCGCTGAGGATCAGTAAAGACAATAGGCAGGTCAAGGACGACACTAGTATTCAGGACGACGACTGCGAGGGCGCGGCCGGTTTCCATCGTGCGCGCAGTAACACGATGCCGAACCTGAAGAGAGGCCCCGGTCCGGGCGGCGGGGAACAGCGGACGGCAACGGGCAACAGCGGACAGTCGGACGCTAGTGGCGGCTCGCCTGGCCAGCAACAATTGTCGAGTTCACCCAACACCTGTTCGGCTCAGGCGCGAATATCGCCGCCCCTGTCGAGCGACGTCACGATCGGCGAGCTCGCCGGCTACTTCGAAGAGTTCGTTCATATTCCAAAGAAGATGTCGCATATGGCGGAGATGATGTACACTTAATAATTGTTAAGTATCTCGAATCTAATGCATACATCGGATGCAGATTCGTACACTTCACTTTCTGTAACGATACTTTGTATTTGCTTGCGTCTAATTTAATTTTTCCTAAATTATTTTTTAATGTGTTCACAAACACATTGGCAAGGAAAAAAAACCGTTTACTCTCGCTCCAATTGTGTACAGTCGTGAAAATTGTTGAGCTATTTTGTATAGACCTTCGGAAAAAAGGCGTAGCGAGATATTGAATGTACTTTCTTCTGCATTGTTTCTGTCCTCTCTTTTTTTTTCTACATCATCTTTGTTGTGCACTATATTTGATTTCTTTAGTGTATAAAAGGGAAAATGGAATATTATATTACCTGTATTTAAAAAGAAAACTTTTGTATTACGAGAGAAGAATAATTGGTTTTAGAATAAATCGCATGAATTGAAATCGGAGTCTAAATGCACCCAAACAATCGGGTTTAAATTAGGTGTCTTCGTCCGTGCATTTGTGCATACACCCTCGCATACGCTTCGCATCGCTCGTTTAATTAACAAATAGAAATTTCCGTCCCGATCGAAACGGGCGAACGAGGCGCCAATGAAGAAGCGGCATTAGTATGATACATAATATATTTATCTGCATAGGCTTACGACAATTAATATAATAATAACACAAAGTAATCGTTAAGTTACTTAATGATAATAAGCTTTGGTATATAAACAATGACAACAGTGTATTGATCGTTTTCGCTTTAGGTACAATACGAATGAAAAATGCACGTCGACGCGCGGTGATGAAACGTGGCTTCACCGATGTGAAGAAAACTCGAACGTAAGAAAGCCGGGCGTACGAGAAAATATTTTTTTGGTGTGCGCATCACGTGAGACGACTCTGCTTCTGCAAACGATTATATCAATACGATAATCGTGGATAATCATCGTCCTCCTTTGGACTTCCACGGTGGCCGCCGCGAGACGACAATTCAATCTTTTGTATCAAAACGCGTGAAAGAGAAAGAGAGAGAGAGAGGGAAGAGTTAGAGAAAGAGGTCTGTCCCCATATCACAGATTTACCGAAAATTTCATTTGAACGGGGGCTACGAACGGTGGAGGGGGGGAGGGGGTACGCTGTCTCCGAAGAAGGCGTCGCGAAATCCACGATTAATTGAGAGCATAATTTTCATTAAGTACAATCTATGCGTATACCGCTGATCTCGCCCCTTTCTTAGGTCACCGTATAATTTAATCATCGCCATTTGCAAATAAGGGACGCGGGAACGATACGTCCGAGATGTGTTTGCCAGTAAATCGCACGAGTATTAATTACACGATGATCACGCCAAAGGATTTCAAAGAGATTTGCAAATTACAGCGAAACATTTACGACAGCCCCGATATTTGGAGGACGCGTCGTTCTTGCACGCGTGCGAACAATTTCAACGCTCGTGCTTAATGAAGATCTTGTCACGTACAATCGTGCGCGGTCGACAAAGTATACGGCTGCTAAGGATTTAGAAACGCAAACGTTTCCTTTAGAGATCTTGCGAACGATCGGACGTAAGATTCCCGATAGCACGCGGGCTTCATTTAAACAATATCAGTCTCTATATCCATTGGGAAAAAGGCCACGGCGCCTTTTACCATAATAATTTGTAAATACGTGGTCCAAATGTGATCCGAATGAAACAGTCTACGCGAATATATATATATACCATATAACGCGAAAGCGCTTCGAGTCGCTCGAAATAATCGCTCTCTCTCTTCAGCACGAAAATCCGCAAGGCATCTGAAGTGCATCTGAAAGGCGACTTAATTTTTCAACTGCTCGGTAAGCGCCTTTTAGACATTCTTATGATGCCGCTGGGATGTCTCTGTTGCTGATATCGTTCCTGTTGCGCTCGCATCAGTTCAAACCCTATGTCTTTTTTTTTCTTCTTTTTAAAACTACGACCTACGGCAGCGATCATGATCATCGTCATCATCAGCGAAATTTCCAAGTGATCGTTTATCATGAGAAAACAAGTTTATCATCGGTATAAAACGCTCATAGAAAAAATGTACTGGACGTAATACACCTACTCTCTAACGCTACGTAAACGTGAACGCCTTTTCACGCGCACTCTTCCATGCGATGTCGCTACAGTTTTATTGGAAATATGCTACGTACCGCGTAAACATCGCGGTGAAGATTTCTCTTACAGATAGGATCTTCGTAAAATAAATGCTACCGCAATATCAAGGTCTATCCGAGCAACGTAGGGGTCCAAGATACGTCACAAAGATACCATATCTGACGTCAAAGAAGACACCGAGACGTCTTCCAGACGTTTGTGTGTTATAACAACTAGACGCAAATGAGCTAGACAATATTTTACAAATTGTTATAATTTATTCACAAAGAAGAAAGGCGTCTGGAAAACGTCGGTTGTCCTTTTGACATCTCTGTTGGATATTTGCGCCGTTTCGACTTCTTCGGCCACGTCGCGAGTATTTCGATACAATCGACACGTTGTCGATAATTAATATCAGCTCAAACAGTTAATTACTATATTAATAAATATCGTTTAAATTCCCTAACGACAATTATTTATACGTTTGCCAATTTTTCATATGATACTCTTGTGAATAAGATATCTGGTATTCGAAATCGCTTCTTCCTCCGTTGCATTCTCCTACGCGAAGATACGAGATTGATATTGCAGCAAGGTTTTAACTTATCGCACAACAATCGGTGTATATGTGGGTTTACCGCGTTATTGCTCTCTCTTGTTTAGTCGCAGTAAAATACACATGAAAAGAGGATCACGCTGACACGGATGTAACAATTTTCTACGCTCGCATGCGCGCAACGCACTCACATTTTGTTTTCACTTTAATCACTAATATCTATCGTATCGTAATGGCTCATCGCGTTTATCGTGACACAGTAAAATGTATACATTCAAGATCGATCGCACCCACAGTCTCGCCAGCCGACTCTAGGCTCCAATATTTTGTTTCTTTGCAAATCAGTTTCCGCTACGATGCAAAGAGAGATAGGAAAGGAGAAATCGATTAACATTATAACGAGCAAACTTGATGCAGAATGTTTTAGATGTTAGGATCACGTAACATTTTCTTCTCGTGTCGTCTTTGGCCATTTCATCTCCATCGGCAATTTAACGTTTCTTTTTTTTACGTCGTTGTTTAAATCATAAATAGATAAAGAACGAAATTAATCATCGCTGTAAACCGACTGTGATGCAATCACCGTAGATTGCCTTACTCGGTTGATTGCATCGACAATTAGGGTTGAGTAATTTCAGTTAACTATTCGCCATCCTTCTCAGATTATAGGTCTGTCCAGTCTGCCCACAATGTAGCTCGAGCAGCAACGATGGCAATACTAATTAAAATTTTTATATTAAGGCTTCATTCGCCCACCGTGCACTTTCTTGACACAGTGGTGTTCGATGCATCCAATGATGAGCCATCTTCTCCTTTCTGTTACAATACTAGTAGTCTATTTCATACATTTCTAAATTTTTTATCTTTATCTGGTTTAAAGCGTTAATCGTTGGTTGATTGGAATTTAAAAAAAATAATTCAGAAAGAAATGACGTTAACACCCAGAGCCGGCTTTGACCGACGTTGGTGCAATCGACCCAATCTCGGGTCTCGCGCGCGTAACGTGCCGCGCGGGGACGACGTTGAATCCCGAGCTGTCGGATGCGATTCGCGGGAATATACCTTTTTCGAGCACCGCGAAGGGAGCAAAGTCGCCGATCCGCCGACGAAACTGTCACGCTTATCGTCTAAGTAATCCCTATTCTCTAATCACCGTCGTTTGTATTTCTTTCTCCTTTAAGTAGAAAATTTACAATTTTTCGACACTTTGTACGAGTAACATCGATGGCTTAAGTTTATCCGAAAATGCATTTCCGATCTATCCCGGCGCGAAGCCCGCCCGCGTCGACTCACGCGGACACCGGACTTCGGGATATTTTTCTTTTACGTTTTTTTTTGTCTCTCAAACGCACTCACGCATTCGCACTTATTCCGGATACTAGTAACTTTCTCGCCTCTCTCGTCTATCCTAATTTTTATACCCTTCTTTTTTCTCTCTTCAACAAGACTAATGGTACTTCGCGAAAGAGCGTCGTAATTCAACACCAATGTACAGCGATTGTCGAAATAAAAACAATGCAAATTCATGCGAGGTATTCGCCGCATTGTTACGGGATAAAAATCAAGTTAAAAAAAAGCGCCGACAGTATTAAATATGTCGGGGTGCTGCGTTAAAAAACTATACAAAAGAAGATCGATAGAAATACGGATACAATCGTAAATACAATCGGACCTGTTTTTGGCAGACACGTTTGGCTGTGTGCATACTCGAGAGTTTTCGTCGTCGAGGATCGTTCTCGGAGAGTAAGTTAACAAGTTGTGCTACCGAAGGGTTGCTCCCATGAGATAGAAAAACTCTCGACTGAACACCGAGATTTTCTCCCATGTCCCAGGTGGATGCGTCTCACTTTGCGTGCGTTTTACAACCGAAATGAAATTATTGCGTAGCAATAACAGGCAAGCGCACGTACACACGACTCTTAATATTTAGGAGGAATAAAGTCAAACCGTTTAATATCGTCTCGAAAATAAGCTTCACGGCGGCTTGTGCGCAGTAACCGTTCCAGTCGAGAATCCTCTTGCCGAGTTCCCCTCAGCGGACAAATTATACGCGAGAAGTCCGTAATGGATATCCTTTACATCTAATTTTACATACGTTCAGCCCTCGCTTGAAAAGTCACGCGTCCGTGATAGCGGTTTCGCCACGAACGGTACGTACGAAAGTTTGTTTCTCGAGAGTTACATATCCAGAAACTGGACTTTAGGAAAATTCGGATGTAACCGTGATCCGAGATCAATAAAATATAAATACAACATGCTCTTGTGTGACAAGTCACAAATTCACAATACGCGCGAACACGCATACGCATGCACTCCTTCACTTTCTCTCTTTTTCACTCTATATATATATAATCTTGTAATCGTACGCTAACATACTAATATACGATTATACTGTATAATCTATAATTCCGAATTTTACCTCCAAACTTACATCACGTTACTCTCTAATACCGTGATTCGTGTCTAAATTTAACTGACATTGCTAGCGTCTTTATTGTAGTTGCTCGTCGTCGAAAGTACGAAAAGTACGCGCTTAAGTGACCGCGAATTTTACGGGCAGGCAAAACGACTCGCCGGTGCCCCTGCGAGCCCGAGATCGCAGTCGTATCTCGCTTCCGATTCTAAATATTACGGTTAACGCCTGATTGGTCATGAAGATTAGAATCTTGTCAATTCGTTCCTGCGAACGGTACTTAGAAAAAACACCATGGCACACACAACTTCCAATCCGTTTGACGTTTTTTGGTGCTTAACACTAGAGGACATATAAGGACACGTAAGGGAGAGATGAGACAAAACGAGAGAGAAAGGGTGAAATTTTCGGCAGCATTTGACAGTGATAGTTCGGGAAATTCGCGGCACTGTTACTCGTGAAGATTGGTCGCCAAAATCTGTAGAAAAATTTCGCAGTCGAAAAAAAAATGCCACCCGCGACAGCAGTGCAGAGGACGCGTATGTGTTTCTCCCCATGAGAATGATGCACCCAGTCCGCGAAGGTTCCGATGAGGGCAGCGTGATACATGCTAAATGATTTACTTAGCAGTAAATACCATAAAATTCCATGGCACAATTGATGTGGGCTGGGTGAAAGTGACCGTGCGGCGGCAGATGATGATTTTGCATATATTGATGGGCTGTATATCAGTCCGTCGGCGGTTCGAGATACGGTATTTCGCTAGTGACGTTGAACGACTCGAAATAGTGATTCAGGAACTCGAACGTGGGTCGCTTCTCCGGGCTAGCGTCCCAGCACTGCAGCATCAGTCGGTAGATACTGTCGGGCAGCGGATGGTTCAATGGTTTCGGCATACGGTAGCCCTTGTCCACTTGCTCGATCACTTCACGGCCGTGCATACCTGGAAGGAAAAGTTTAGAGGAAATTAATCATGCAGATAACAAAGTATACGTTTAAATTAGCCATAAATAAACCGAGAATAAATACGAACAATACGGGAAGGAATGGGAAGAAGCTTACCAGGATAAGGAACTTGTCCGTAAGTGAAGAGCTCCATCAACAGGATTCCGTAGGACCAGACGTCGCTCTTGATGCTGAACCTGCCGTAGACGATGGCCTCCGGCGCGGTCCACTTGACAGGGAATCTACTGCCCTGCTTCGGACAGTACTCGTCGTCCTCGATCACCCTAGCGAGACCAAAGTCGCAGATCTTCGCCTTGTTCTTCTCGCCGATCAGCACGTTCCGCGCTGCGAGATCTCTGTGTATGAGCTGCTTGCTCTCGAGGTATTCCATACCGGAGGCCACTTGGGCCGCAATATAGATCAAATCCTCGAACTGCATGTACTTGCCGTCTCCCTTTCGGAGAAAGTCCAACAGGCTGCCGTTACACATGTATTCTTGCACAATGTAGATGGGCTCCTCCTTCGAGCAGACCGCGTATAACGCGACCAGATGCCTGTGTCGGAATTGCTTCATTATGGCTGCCTCCTGCAGAAACGCCTCGGTCGACATGGTCCCTGGACGCAGCGTCTTTACCGCCACCTCGATTTTGTTTCGCCACTTGCCGTAATAAACTTTGCCGAAATTGCCGTTACCGAGCTCCGAGATCAGCTGTATCTCGTTCCTGTTGATCTCCCACTTGTCGCGCAGCTCAGGCCCGAGATCCCACATGTCCGGTTGCGGTTTCGGGCAGGGCTTCGAGAGTACGTGACAGAGACCCAGCGCGTTTTCTGAATAATAAATATATGTCACTTTTAGGAAACGGAGTACTTTTATTAATTAAAACGCAAAAATTAATCTGTGAGATATTAATACAAATTGCTTTATAGGTATATGTTGTGTTACCCCAACTCTCTTTTTAAGAAATATATATATTCCGCGTTATTTGGAGAAATCGTACGTTGTATTTGTATTAGAAGCTGCTCACATGACTGAGTTTGAAGAAAATAAGAACGAACAATGTATGGATAATATTCGAATCATAATTGATGAGGACAATCGAGTCGCTGAAATCTAATTGGACCTATGATATAGTCTGCCTAGGGTATTACTTGTTTCTTTGAAACACGATATTATGAGAGGACACGTGGCCGATTGAAAACTTTCCGCTAATTCGCTATTAGGAATTAAAATTAAGATTCATTCATTTGCTAAAAATTGTATACATTATTATAAATAAACAGGACTTACTGCTGTATGCCATAACCAGAGCCGGTAAGCTGGAGAACGTTTGATTGGTGGCGATAAAGAAGCCGCCATTGTCGAGCGGTTTAATCTTGTAGTGTTTCACATGATGGCCCCTTCCTTCCTCCCAATCCTTGACCGACAAGCTGTAACCCCGGGGATTGTGCTCGCTTGGCCTCACCAAGAACGTCCCGCGAGGATTCTCGTCGACCAGCAGCAGCTTGCCCGCCTCCTTACGCGACACATTCTCGAAGAACCAACTGCGAAGAGCGCGATATTGGGTACACGATACCTTATCGAGAGGCACAACGAAAGGGGGCCGAGGGAAGAATAGAAAGATAAATGCTCACTCTTCGCTCTCGACCGACCGCTCGACAGCCACGAAGTTCCAAGGGATCAGGCCTTCCTGCAGAGTCGTTAAGTGCAACACTCTCCACCAGTCCGGCTCGGAGTCGTCGAGGACCTCCATTCGGTCGCCTTTCATGAAACTAACGTCGGTGCTCTCTCGTGCCGTGTAATTGTACAGTGCCACCACGATCTTGTTGGACCTTTGTGAATGCGCTGCATCGGTAGAGAAACAGTACGTCTCGTCAAATTGTTCTCCGAGCAGGAAGAGAAATCGAGGAACCCGAACCGGTTAGAGGTGATTTAACTTTAAAAGACCCGATACGAACTAAGTTCCGACTAAAGGGGGCTTGTAATTATATTTTATACAAAAGGCGACGATAATGGACGAAACGTAACATTTCGATTCGCATCTGCATTCGGTTCAGTTGTTTTATATAAATGCATCAAAATTAGTGTAATTTTGATTCATTTTTATGTTTTGGCTGCCATAAACATGGAGGCGTCAAGCCTTTTTCGTTTATCGTCAAGAATACGCATAGAGATCGCTTTTTGCATCGGGGAATGGTCTAATTAAGATTAAACCGGTTCGGGTTAGCGGCGGAAACATTTAAGATGGGTCGAGACAACAACTACCAGATGCTAAGCGGTTTCACAATAAAACGTAAAACTACTTGCGAGACAAGATTCTATCTTGGTTCATACTTGGTCGTTTCTACGGAAGCAAAAGAAGAGTAACATAAAAATACACACATGCAGACTTAACAGGCGGATTCGTTTTACGGGGTTGCTGATGCGGTATCTGTAGCTTACAGGGTGTCGGCCTCGGTCGGATAATATCCGCCCGAGCTTGCACGCCTCTCTGATTTGGGTCGGCGGTGTATCGGTCCAAGGAACCTCCATTGCTGTGCTTTGAGCTGAGTCCCGTGTCTGCTTTCTTATAGCCTGAATAGAGAGAAAAATCCGTCTCTCATCAAGGAAGACCAATCCGATGAGAAGTCTATCTTTTATCTCTGCGCGCTAAATATTGCGAAATTTTTCATGATAAACTCGACACCTGTGTCTCGCCCGATCCGAAATTATTATTTTCGTTGAGAACTCATCCCGGAGACCAGCATCAACGTAACAATGCCTTCATATCATTAATAATTACCATAGCACAACTACTCTCATCGCTGCATCCAGCTCTCAAGTGAACGTAAATAAAAAGCGAGACGGATTTTTTTTAGTTCCTCGAAAAGAAAAATGAAAGATCGGATACGATTCAATAATTACGGAGATGAAAGGGGGAATTTGAAATCTCTTCTTCTACTAATGGTGATTGACGCAACCATACATATTATTAATTATTACAGTGATAAAGCGATAATTACTTCTACATACGGTGCGTTATCGTTATCAGTTTCGCAATTCAACTCACCGATCGGTTGAGACTCTTGCCGTTTGCTGCAACACTTCCCCATGCTGGATCTCTCGTTCCTGGTCTACCTCTGCGCGAGTCCTACGCACCCTCTATCCTGGATACATTCGCGGGGCAAGCCTCCATCGTCTCGTTGAAACTCGGCCCGGATGGCCAGCCAGTTCGAGCCGGCGACGAAGTGTATATCGCTACAAGCTCTCAGAGTCCCCTCGTCCGTCCGCCCATCGCCGGATTATCGGACTCGCCGCTCCTGCAACATAAGGCAGACGAGATCTGTCATGATTCCGACCGAGGATTATTATCGCGACAATGCTCGCGGGCTGCAGCGTCACGACGAAGGTCTACGAATTGCAGTCATTTGACAACGGGAAGTCGCTATGCTCCGGCGAAGTCGGTGACGCGATTGCGAAGTCATCGCCAGGGCAGTGATCAACTACAAGTCGGCGACTACATCATCGCGATTATTATCACTTTCATCGTTTCTTATTGTTATTACTCTTCGGTCATTCGTCTCATGGCCGAATCGCCACAATTATCCGAGTAAAAATGTACTTTAGCATGCATTCTATTCTCCTAGAAAGAAATGTATTCCAGTTAAATAAATGAGGCACTTTGAAATCACGTTTCCTCGAATCTATTAAATTTTTATTCACTTCTATTAAAATATTTGCTAGATTTGAATTCTCTTAGAGATTTCAGTCTCGATGAAACAAAATTTTGGTCAAAAAAGTTATTTCTTTGAAATTAAATAAAAGTCTAGCAACGTCAAAATTCAAAGAAAATTTGTACAATTTCTTCTTTAGATATTCGTAAATTTTGAAATTAACCCTTTCCAGATCACTGCACACAAGTGTCACTTACAAAATTCAAAAGACTCAACGATTTAGCATGCAATCTATTCTCCTGGAAAAAAATGTATTCAAGTTAAATGAGACACTTTGAAATCATGTCTCTTTGAATCTACTAAATTTTTATTCGCTTCTATCAAAACATTTGCTAGATTTGAATTCTCTTACAGATTTCAGAGTCTCGATCAAATAAAATTTTGGTTAAGAAAGTCATTTCTTTGAAATTAAATAACAGTCTAGCAACGTCAAAATTTAAAGCAAATTTGTATGATTTAAAGAGACTCTTTTTCCTGGATGTTACCGGAAAAAAAATCAATTAGTTACATCAACGAGAATGTAAAAGCGAAAAATTAATTCGGTTACGAAAGGGTTGATACAATTTCCTATGTATATCAAAATTAATCAATTTAAAGCGCTGACGATGTACAACCGCGTTATCATTTCGAGAGGAAGCAACATTAACTGAAATTGCGGAACGATGAGACAACAAAAGGGGCGCCGTAAAAATCGAAGCTCGCGGCCGATTTTACTTAACGGCGTACCCACCCACCGCTATTCCAACCGAGGGAAAATATCCATACAAAAAGGAGAAACCAATAACTACGCGACCGCCGCTGCCAAGCCGACCACCAGTCGAGGTGCCCTTCCGATTATCTCCATATCATTAAATAGAACGAACAGCCTCGCCCACAGCAGTCGCACACTCGGAGTTTTTAATTAAACAGCTGGGCCAAAGCGAAGAGGGAAAAGGACCGTAGGATTTTCGAGCAGGGAGACACGTATATGGGGTGCATCGATGGATGAATGTTACATTCGACGATATATCTGAAATCGAGAAGCATGAAAGTTTCCCTTTCAAAAGATGAGTCGGGATGCAGATAACTCTTGAGTTTGCAAATATAAATATTAGTCATAAATATAGATCGATACTTTGTTCCGAGAGGGCCGTATATTCATCAAAATTGTATTTCGGCTTCAATTTTTGAAATGCCAATTGGAAGAACAGGACTCCGCTGACTTGCGCTTTACTGATACAGACAGACCGTCAGTTTATCAAAATGTAAAACATTTTTAACCTTAGGTAAACTTTACTGTGACACATTTAAATATCTTCGAGATGTCAGTTCGAGTCGATATTTGGCGCTTCAAAATCTACGGAAGGTTGGGAGCAATTAAATTTTCGTGCAGAAGAAGAAATCGCGTTTCGGTTCAACGCGAGAGCGCCGCCGATTAACAAAACGCGCCTCTTGCCGGACATGCCCCGTGTGCACGGGTTTGGGAAACAATCGTCCGGAATCGATTTGAATGTGGGTCGGTCCAACCCCAAGTGCCGAACGCCGCGAAAGCATGGCACACGGCTACCGGAGTCTTCCGTTCGATCGGCACAGCCCGACTACGGGCTATAGGACAACTCGAGTACACCATCCCTGGGCCCCTTATCCATGTGCACGTGTACGTGTCTATGCAACGGGGTAATACGTGGGTAGCGAAACGGTCGATATCCTACAACATGTATTCGTATATACTACGACGTCACACTCGCCATCCGGTAGAGCTTTTACGTGGCGAACAATGCGCTACCGTGGACAAAGACGTATTAACGTTAGCGTCAGGACGCGACGTCCTGATCGTGCCGTTGGCCAAGTCTTCAAACTATAGGCAACTGTCAAGTTCCGTGATAGATCGGAAGGTAGGGCCGATTTAATTTGGAAAGCTACGAAAACTCGACTCAAGTCCGCCAACTTTAGCGTTTAGCCAAGTTTGATCGAGCGAATTTTTCGCTTGCGATCTAAAAAGGGATAACACATCCCGAAATAAGATATTGCTTTAATATAAGCTCCTGATACAGCCGGCCTTAGACAGATTTAAGACTTGGTTAGTATACTGTGATATATTTAAAATATATTGCATTTTTTTATCAACGATACAAGATCTCTGTATCGTTTCTCTTTGAAAAATTGGAAATTGAATTATAAATTAAATTGCAAATTAATTGAAACGTCACTAACATAGAACGCGAGTTTGTTCATTGTACAAAATAACCTTTGTGATAAAACCAAGAGTTATCTGTGCAGAATTTTGAAAAACGCAAGCCGACAATTTGAAATGTATTATCCTGTGTCATGTATTTAAATAAAAAATTATCTTTATTATTCTATTACACAGAATAATGAGAAACGTAAGTTTGTGATTTGAAATTACATTATATTTCGAGAAAAAAATATCTTCTACTATTCTGCGTAGAGTTTTAAAACATACAATTTAAGTCTATCGTCCTATATCACATTTAGATAAGAATTTTCTTCTGAAATACCTTTAACCTAATATCCTTACGTGATTCTTCAATTATTCTTCAATTACTGTACGAACTGCATGTTACACATTTTTACTTATCTTAACAAATCTATTCGGCGTAATTTATTTTAAAAGCGAATTTAATCCAGGTGTACTTCACGGTTAAAATGATTCTGTTCTTATCGGTCCTCTCTCGAACAAGATACTATCCGATAAGATTGAATTATGTATACCTGCCTGTTGAAATCCCGAGAAAATCGCTGCCCATTGTTATCACTTTTATTTCCGTTTACGATTTCACGATACAACGAGGCGACTCCAGCCCAGCCTCGCGTGATAAAGTATAAACGACGAACGCTTTAAGAACAGCGCGACGTGAAAATTTACCGTCCGACGACGCCGTGTGTACGGATACTAACCGTGAGGATAGATCGTAAAAGCGAGAGCGTTAGTTATTCTCGCCCGATACGAAGACTCTCTCTCTCTCTCTCTCTCTCTCTCTCTCTCTCTCTCTCTCTCTCTGCTCCTCTCTCTCTCTCTTGAGGTAATAACTTTGTTGTTTTCCTATAGAACAACTTCCCACGTCGCCGATATAAAGCCGCAAGGCGTAATCGAACGTCTTAATAACATTTAAAGCCGACAGCGGAGCAGTGTAAATTGTTTGCCGAAGCATTTATGCGCATTACAAAGTACCGCAAAGTTACTGAATATTAATTCAGAGTCGATTTTCCGCGGAGTGTCGCGAATAAACCGTGAACCGATTGTCTTTAAAGCTTCAACGATAAATCATAAATAATTTCAATAAATTTCCACGAAAGATAGCGTCCCTTTTTATCGTAAAGAGAAAACAGCTGAAACATTTACGCGGGGGAAAAGCAATTACGCAATGTGCCAATTAAAATGCGTAATTCATTATTGCCGTAATTACATTTAGCGGCCCGTAATGTGATGACATATTCAATTATTTCTATAATCTGGTTTTTATAAAATATAATTTTTACAACGGTAATAGCTTTCTCTCTCGGCCGGAGCCGTTTCAGAGAATACTTTTGCCTTTCAGCTATTAAAGTAAAAAAATGCGTGCACGCTCCTCCGTTGCTAATTTTATTTTCGTACTGATCGATAGCGTTTACGCGTCCGAGGTAGATAAAGGAGCAGCCACAAAGATTGCGAGGTGCTTGGTAGATCATCGCGTTGAAATTAAAGCTAAAAGAGCCAGTACGAACCTCGGGTTATCTCACTGACATTATATCTCATTGTCAGTGGAAACCTAAATGCGTCATCTCTCGCGGCACTGACTAAGTCCGTCAACTGGTGAGACACTACTTGAAATTGAGTCCCCGTTCGCGAAGCTCAATAAGGGGATTCATCTTCTGGCAATCTCATTGGCTTTTCTTTATCCAAGTTATTTTATATTACGGAAATTATTGCGCCCGAAAATATAACACTTAACTTCGTCTTCGAGAATCTCTTCCTGTTGAAAAAAAAAAAACACAAACGCACGGAGAGCATCGCGTGAATAAAGCTGGAATCTAGCGACAGGTCGCGTGTTGGAATTCGCAGATCGAACTACGGGATTCAAAACTTCCGTGTGACATGACAGGAATCGCAATCCGTTGCAATATCTTACGAAAGGGGGGCGGGGGGACGCGGGGCGAGTCTTGCGGTTCGATTTCCGATTCCAATTCGTTGGCTGTAATCCGCCGCTTCATTCGGAGTTTAAAGGTTTAATCTGATAATCATTAAAACAGTCCGGATTCAAATTCCGTGTTTTCTATCTCGTATAGGACACTCAAAATTTTACGAAAGTGGATGTAATGCAATAACAAATTTAGTATCTTTTCGTGCATATTTTTAGTCTTTGAAAAATCGCAAATTTTATCTCGCACTCAGAACATAATTATATTTATATATAAACACAGGTTCACAAAGCGCTTAATATTATTATAGCGTCACTACACTGATAGGAAAATATGTAGTATTTGAAACTACAATTGCACAGTAAAATAATTACAGTCAGAAATATCTTTTTTATAGTAATTATTACTATAACATTAGTAACAGCCATATAGACACAGTAATGCCAACTATTTAACAAATTTACTAT